TAGTTAATATAAGTTAACCTCTGCCATTCTCTTTGAAATCGGTTCAGATTTTGATATAACTTCTACATATATATTTTCGTCCGATTTCACACAAAATTGACACAAATTTTGCACAACGTACTAAAGTTTTGAAATGTGGAAAGTTTTGAAATCGGTTCTGATTTGGATATAGCTTCTATACATATTTTCTCCCGATTTTATGTAATTTTGTCCCATTGTAAGAAGCAACCCTATATGTAAACAAATGAAATATTTAGTATGGGTTGCAGAATTCGACGTCTGTTAGCATTCATCTGTTGAATATACCCAAAGTGGTGAAGGGTATCATATAGTCGGCCCCGTCAGACTTTACTACTTTTTTAATGGTTTAGGAATACTATAGAGACGAGGATTTTTTAAAGAATATTTTTTAGGAATCCCATAGAGGCGTGGATATTTTAAAGAATATTTTTAGGGCTGCCATAGAGGTGTGGATTTTTTAAAGAATAGTCTTTAGGGGTAATCTTTAATATTTTCATAAATTCGGCAAAATTACCCACCTTTACTAACATTCGACAACACTCTGCTAAGCCTACAACAAAGAAATTTGAAGAATGAGTTTTATATATTTATGTATGATGTGTGTGTTAACTCAAACTCCTGGATATGACTTATTTTTATGTATTATGGCAAAAAATATATTCTCTGGCAAACATGCATGAATATATTTACACAAACATCTAGTATTTATATATATCAAATACATAAAATACCCAACATGGTACTACAATATATTCAAAACCTCACACACATTTTTGTACTGACATAACATTTGGAATAGGATGATAGATTTCCTTCACCTACCGACCAGCAAAAAATCAAATCACAAAATATTTGCCAAAATATGCTTTTACTCAACTTGCTGTGGCTTCCTTGAAGCCTGTTGAATATATTATAAAATTTTTATTAAAATTCTATTAAAAATAATTTATTTAAAATATAAAATAATTTATTAAAAATAATAAATAAAATATTAAAAAAAATATATAATATTAAACTTTTCACATATAAAATGATCGGAGGACGAAGTGAGTGGGTATAAACAGCAACCCCAGATGTGTCAAATATTGTAGACTACAACAATTGTGATTTTTCGACAATTCGAAACTAACTTTAGAGAAAATAAAATTCTTTTCACAAAACAAAAACAAAGCAATTTTCAAAAATTTACGCATATGAAAGCACTATGAAAAATATTTCTCAAATATCCTGAAAAATCCAAGCCACGCCTTCAAAAAAGGTTTTTAAAAAATCCACGCTTATTGGTAGTCTCCAAAAATATTTTTAAACCAGTAAGGAATGTGGTATAGTCGGACGGGCCGACTATATGATACCCTTCACCACTATGGGTATATTAAACAGGACTATTAACATGAAATTGGATGAACTAAAATATGTGATATTTATTAAATCGGACGAAAGTATATATAGGAGCCAGCAACGTACACAGGATTTCATTTCGGGGGGGGGCCCGGCAGTACAAAATGAAAAAAATCGCTGTTGCAAACATAAATTTACTGTGAAAAAAATTCATTTCATGCAGGGCCGCTATATCTAGATCTCAACCGATTTTCACGCAACTTGGCACATATGTATCATTCTTATGCCAAATTTCATGCAAATCGAAGGATATATAGGGACTTTGGTGAATTTTTTACTTTAAATCGGACGAATATATGGGAGCTATATCTTAATCTAGACCGATTTTCACGAACCTTGGCAGACATCAATCCAGGATCAATTCAGAATGGCATGCCAAACTCCGTGATAATCGAAAGATATATAGGGACTTTAGTGTGTCATATACATTAAATCGGACGAATCTATATATGGGAGCTATATCTAAATTTGGACCGACTTTCACGAATCTTGCCAGATATCATTCTAGGCTCAATTCAGCACGATATGTCAAATTTCGTGCAAATCGAAAGATATATAGGGACTTTGGTACACCATTTACGTTAAATCGGACGAAAATATATATAGGAGCTATATCTAAATCTGAACCGATTTTCAGGAAACTTATCACACATCATTCTAAACCTAATTCATTACGCTATGCCAAATTAGGTGCAAATCGAAAGATAAATAGCGACCTTGGTACACCATTTACCTTAAATCGGACGAAGATGTATATGGGAGCTATATATAAATCTGAACCGATTTTCAGGAAACATAACACACGTCATTCTAGACCCTATTCATTACGCTGCGCCAATTTTCGTGCAAATCGAAAGATATACAGGGACTTTGGTGCACCATTTGCATTAAATCGGACGAAAATATATATGAAGCTATATCTAAATCTGAACCGATTTTCACGAAACTTAACACACATCATTCTGCTCTTAATTTAGTACGCTGTGCCAAATTTCGGGAAAATCGAAAGATATATAGGGACTTTGTTATGCCCTTTACCTTAAATCGGAAGATAATATATAGGGGAGCTATATCCAAATCGGAACCGATTTTCACGAAACTTAACACACATCATTCTAGGCTTAATTCAATTTCGTGCAAATTGAATGATATATAGGGGCTTTAGTGCACCATTTACATTAAATCGGACGAAATTATATATGGGAGCTATATCTAAATCTGAACCGATTTTCTCCAATTTCAATATGGTTCGTCCTTGGGCCAAATAAATGAGCTATGCTAAATTTCGTACAATTCGAATCAAAAATGCCACCTGTACTTTGTTTACAATTTAACATGGACAGACGGACGGACGGACGGACATGGATAAATCGACGTAGAAAGTGATTGTATGCATATTCTCAAAAGGAACCATGTGTCTATCTCTGTTCCTTTTGCCTGTTATAAACATATGCACAAGGCATAATACCCTGTACCAGAGTGTGGTGAAAGTTATAAAAATCCAAGCTTTGCTGTGGTCGGTCCCAGAAAAAAGTCTTCCTGTAGCTAAGGGGTTTTTTTTTTGTTTTTTGAGATATGTCTTCAGAGAATCCAATAAATTACTGATTAGGAGACTTTTTCAATATACTACATCAATAAAGTTCCTGCTAATTTGGCCTATTTTTTGTCGGAAGTTTGTTAAAGCCAACTTATCCGTGGTCGCTGTCCTGCTGATACCCTGTGTCATTTTTATGCTGCCCTTCACAATTTATATATTGAGAACCATATTATATCGACGAATCAAAAAGGCTTCCTTTATATTGCCGACATGAAAACCGGTACTGGGTTGAAACATTCCACATCTGGCATATCAATGGTGTTCGGTGATTTTGAGGGCCAAATAAACCCCGCCTTTTCACAAAGATCGTTAAATATTCAGAAGAAATACGAAAGCTATTTGTAAACCTGTAAACGGAGTAGTATAATCGGACGGGGCCGACCACAACTACCACGAAAGTTAGAGTCATTCCCGATTAGAGGTCAACAGCACCTTTTCCTTACAATGACATATTTTCCGAATATTACAAATATTCAGTACAGCCCTTCTAATTACTTATCCAGATTGCCTTCACCGTGTGTTGTATGGTGATGTTTGGCTTATAACTGTGGCCTATAGATCGACTCGAAAAAAAAAACACACACACACAAAAATAAGTTTTCGGTCCACTTCATCCCAACATTATTATCTGATCATCAGCGAAAATTATAGACATTGTCCTTGACCATAACCGAAACCTCATGGAAAATTTCAAATCGATCAGTGCTATATTTCCGCCGTACAGTATGTCTGAATAACGTAAGCACCTGTAGATATTTAGTGTAACTCCCACAACCGAGAACATACGACAATGTAATTGGTATCAATTTAAAGGCCAACCACTCCTTTTGGACATACTATCAATTTCTAGGGTCTATGTCCATAGAATACAAATGTTGTCATTTTTCACACCAAAGTATGGGTCCATTTGACCCGCTAAATATTGACCGATCTTTATCAAAACAGGCATGCTTATTCTTTGGCCCGATCCCCTTCTCCATGTAAAAATTCGCGATGTTTGTGCCATAAGTCTAGAGTTTTTGGTCGATTTCATCCCCTTAATATTAACCGATCATTACCAAAAACAATAGGGGTCTTCATTGGCCAGAACCCATCCTACATGGAAAATTTCGTGAAGATTGGTCCATAACTGTGACCTGTATCGTGTTTACAAATTATAATGGACAGACGGACGGATGGAAACACATGTCTAGATCGCCACAGCTAGTCGAGATATGACGATGGGTATACTTAATGGTGGTTCTAGGACCAATATTTCACGGCGTTACAAACTCTTGGGGCTGCACAAAGCTATAATACCCTGACAACATAGTCGTGTAGAGTATAAAAATCCATTGTAGAAGTTTTTAACTATAAAATAATATATTTTTAAATTTTTATTTAAAATTAATAAATTTTATTATTTTTTTTAAATATTTATTTTATTCAAATACTATACTTAAAATTAAAAATCAAGCATCCAAAACAAAACAAAAAAGAGTAGTATTAACTAAGGCTATTCACAAGAGAGGTACAAGTCTTCATGGCTAAGGAATCAACCACTGGTGGTGGTGTTTGGGTTTTTTTGTGCACGGGCGGAATTTGTTTTATTTTACATTTCTACATTTTTATTTTTTGTGTGTTTTTGTTTTAAATTCATTAACAATAAAATTTCACATTTTTTGTTTTTCATTTTTTTTTTAATTTATAATTAATTTTAAAATGGTATATAAAAATCCATAACAAATTTCATATAAATTTAATAACAATAAAATTATTATATATATTTTTTTTGTAATTATATATAGTCAAAAATTAAGTAAAATGTAATAAATAATAGGTACCAGCCCATTTTTTTGGTAACGAGTCTGGTTGGGGGTTTGTTTTTGGTTTAAAAATCAAATTCTTCTTAGCTTGGAAAATAGGAAAATATTTCCTTTTTTGGTATCCAAACATTTTTTTTGGGGGGGGAGGGAATTTTTTTTTAACTAAGAGTAGTTTTTTTGTTTATCCTTCTTAGGCATACATCTTTTCAATAACATCGGCATATTGTTTGTTGACAACATTACGCTTGACCTTCAGGGTGGGTCCCAATTCACCAGTTGGAATGGAGAAGTCATGTGGCAAGATGGTGAATTTCTGTACCTTTTGGGCATTAGAAATGGAATGTTTGTTGGCGCGCTTAATGGCATCCTCAATCGATTTGTAGACCTTGGGGCATGGACCGGCATTCAAGATGTCGGACAATGTTTTGTGATTGACGCCCAATGATTTCATCCACATCAAGGATTCGTGGGTGAGTTCATCCAATGGGGCACCGGTGTCCTTGTCCATTTCGGTCTGTAATAAAAATTCAGATTTTAATTTTTTATTGAAAAAAAATATATATTTTCTTTTGGGAACCCACCTTAATGGTCACCAACACAGTCAAATATTTGCGTTGTTCACCCACCAAGAAGGCATTGGACAGACCATCACATTCCTTCTTGATCAGATTTTCAATGTGTACGGGAGGAATATTTTCACCACCGGCTGTAATAATGATTTCCTTGGAACGGCCAGTAATGTAGACATAGCCCTTGTCATCAATATAACCAACATCACCGGAATGCAACCAGCATTCATCATCCAAAGCTTCTTCGGTTTTTTCTTTGTTGTTGATATAGCCCATGAAGACGTGACGGCCACGAATGCAGATCTAAGGAGGAAAAAAAGGAGGAACAAATTTTAGTAAAGAAAATTGTAAGGCTCTAAAAAAAATATTTAAAATATTTAAATCGATACTAAATTTTTCCATTGGTCAGATATAGAAGCTATATCTAAATCTGAACCGATTTTCAGGAAAATTAACACACATTATTCTAGATTCATTTCAGTACGCTATGCCAAGTTTCGTGCAAATCGAAGCATATATAGGAACTTTGGTGCACCTTTTACAATAAATCGAACGAAAATATATATGGGAGCTATATCTAAATCTGAACCGATTTTCCCGCAACTTTTACACACATCGTTCTATACTTAATTCTGTACGCTATGCCAAATTTCGTGCAAATCGAAGGATATATAGGGACTTTAGTGCACTATTTACCTCACATCGGACGAAGATATATATGGGAGCTATATCTAAATCTGAACCGATTCTCACGAAATTTTACACACATCGTTCTAGACTTAATTCTATACGCTATGCCAAATTTCGTGCAAATCGAAAGATATATAGGGACTTTGGTGTACCATTTACATAAATTCGGACGAAAATATATATGGGAGCTATATCTAAATTTTAACCGATTTTCACGAAACTTAACACACATCATTCTATACCTAATTCATTATGCTGTGCCAAATTTCGTGCAAGTCGAAAGATATATAGGGACTTTGGTGCACCATTTACATAAAATCGGATCAAAATATATATGGTAGCTATATCTAAATCTGAACCGATTTTCAAGAAACTTCACACACATCGCTCTAGACTCAATTCAGTACGTTATGCCAAATTTCGTGCAAATCGAAAGATATTTAGGGCCTTTGGTGCACCATCTACCTTAAATCGGACGAAACTATATATGAGAGCAATATCTAAATCTGAACCGATTTCCAGGAAACTTAACACACATCATCCTAGGCCTAATTCATTACGCTATGCCAAAATTCGTGCAAATCGAAACATATAAATGGACTTTGGTGCACTATTTACCTAAAATCGGACGAAAATATATATGAGAGCAATATCTAAATCTGAACCGATTTCCAGGAAACTTAACACACATCATCCTAGGCCTAATTCAGTACTCTATGCGAAATTTCATGAACATCGAATGATATATAGGGTCTTTGGTGCACTGTTTACCTTAAATCGGACGAATATATATATATGGGAGCTATATCTAAATCTGAACCGATTTTCAGGAAATTTAACACACATCATTCTTTACCTAATTCATTACGTTGTGCCAAATTTCGTGCAAATCGAAAGATATATAGGGACTTTGGTGTACCAGTTACATTAAATAGGTCGAAAATATATATGAGAGCTTTAACTAAATCTGAACCGATTTTTCCAATTTCAATAGGGTTCGTCCTTGGGCCAAATAAGTGACCAATGTCAAATTTCATCCTTTTCGGATCATAAATGCGACCTGTACTTTGTTTACAATTTAACATAGACAGACGGACGGACATGCATAAATCGACTCAGAAAGTGATTCTATGCATATTCTCAAAAGGAACCATGGGTCTATCTCGTTTCCTTTTGCATGTTACAAACATATGCACAAAGACATAATACCCTGTACCACAGCGTGGTAAAGGTTATTAAAATTATTTCAAAAAATCCACGCCTTATATGCATCCCTAAAAAAATATTTAAAATCCATTGGTAGTCTCCAAAAATTATTTTTTAAAAAATCCGCGCCTTTTTAGACCCCTTAAACATATTTTGGACAGGTTTTTGTCGATCACACTCACCTCACCATGACCATTGTCATCCTTGTTGATGATCTTAGTTTCACAGCCACCCAAGGTCTTGCCAATGGAGGTCAATTGTGTGGTATCGGGCAAGCACAGCGAATGACAGCCAGCAGTTTCGGACATACCGAAGGCATCCAAAATTTTCATATCCAAACTGAGGAAATATTTTTTGGTTTCCGGAGACATGGGAGCAGCAGCACTGACCAATGTAATGACACGATCCAAACCCAAGGCTTGTTTGACCTTGGACATGACCAAGGACTTGGCGATCTTGTAACGGAAACCGCCGCTTTTGCTAAAATGAAAACAAATAGGAAATTAAATTATTAAAAAAATTCTCAGAATATCCATTAACCTCTCTTTAAGATGTTCACTTTACCCTAAACCTTATCTTCGACCTCAAAAATCCTCTTTTAAAATGGTTCGTAATTTCATATGCAATTTTCAAATATCCTCCGCCAACCCCCTTTATTGGGCCCATTAACATTTGTGGCTAGGCAACAAATTTCCCGAATAACAGGAAACCCCCACTTCAAGAAAAACAGAAACGAAACCGCAACATGAACATCAGCTGTCATATGCAAATTATGATGGTGGTTATGCGACCGGAGCAGAGCAGAGCCAGGTAAAGGAGGTTGATATACAAATATCTTCATTGAATTCTCAAGTAAAAACCACAGCCAGAAAAATGCAGAACAACCTCCTCCAATATCCTTACCAGGTTACTCCATGCAAAATTCTATGGCTCCGAAGCTGGACTGCAAGTCATATCATCTACGTTGTCGACGTCCGTCCGTCCTACCTACCACGTGTCATTTGCAGTTAGTTTAAATGTCACGAACTTCTTATAGAGCCACCGCCAGCATCGGAGCTAAGTGCAGCTAACAATTTGCTGGCGGGGAAAGGGGCGGAGAATGATGGAAGTTTGTGCCACTTGTGTGGTGTTCTGTTTTGGTATGCGGATTTAAACTTCCTTCACTTTGTTGGAGACATGAAAAAATTTGCATTTTCACTCCGAAACAACTATTTTGATAAACTATGTAGCGTGAGGGAGGAAGGGAGTACACGAGTGTGTGTGTGTGGGAAAGGTAAAGGAATTCCGCTATAACTCCTATTAAAATTCCGTAGGAGTACAACCACGAAGTATGTTCATGGAAAGGGATATGCTTGTCTAGTAGAGGTTCAAAACTATTTTTAAAAATCCACGCCTTGGATATGGAGCTTCAAAACTATTTTTAAAAATCCACGCCTTGGATATGGAGCTTCAAAACTATTTTTAAAAATCCACGCCTTGGATATGGAGCTTCAAAACTATTTTTAAAAATCCACGCCTTGGATATGGAGCTTCAAAACTATTTTTAAAAATCCACGCCTTGGATATGGAGCTTCAAAACTATTTTTAAAAATCCACGCCTTGGATATGGAGCTTCAAAACTATTTTTAAAAATCCACGCCTTGGATATGGAGCTTCACGCCTTGGATAACTATTTTTAAAAATCCACGCCTTGGATATGGAGCTTCACGCCTTGGATAAGCTTCAAAACTATTTTTAAAAATCCACGCCTTGGATATGGAGCTTCAAAACTATTTTTAAAAATCCACGCCTTGGATATGGAGCTTCTATTTTTAAAAATCCACTTGGATATATTTTTAAAAATCCACGCCTTGGATATGGAGCTTCAAAACTATTTTTAAAAATATGGATATGGAGCTTAAAAATCCACGCCTTGGATATGGAGCTTCAAAACTATTTTTAAAAATCCACGCCTTGGATATGGAGCTTCAAAACTATTTTTAAAAATCCACGCCTTGGATATGGAGCTTCAAAACTATTTTTAAAAATCCACGCCTTGGATATGGAGCTTCAAAACTATTTTTAAAAATCCACGCCTTGGATATGGAGCTTCAAAACTATTTTTAAAAATCCACGCCTTGGATATGGAGCTTAAAAACTATTTTTAAAAATCCACGCCTTGGATATGGAGCTTCAAAACTATTTTTAAAAATCCAAGCCTTGGATATAGAGCTTCAAAACTATTTTTAAAAATCCACGCCTTGGATATGGAGCTTCAAAACTATTTTTAAAAATCCACGCCTTGGATATGGAGCCTCAAAACTATTTTTAAAAATCCACGCCTTGGATATGGAGCTTAAAAACTATTTTTAAAAATCCACGCCTTGGATATGGAGCTTAAAAACTATTTTTAAAAATCCACGCCTATGGTAACCGCCTCAAAAATATTTTTAAAAAATCCACGCCTTTGGTGGGTCTTTTAAAAATTCTGCCCTATTCCCCTAATTGTTTATATTATTATTCTTTTCTCCCCTCCAATACTCACCCTTGACTTTCCATATAATGTCTCAATGTAACACCCTTGGCCCAGCTGGCCAACATCTTCTTCATGCTGCCACTCGATGAGGAGACGGCCACCATACGTTCTTGGAATTTCTCATAGACACGTGGTACACCCATAAATCTTGTTGGACGAGCATCTTGCAATGATTTGACCAAAGTACCTTTCAAGGCATCTTTATCGGCAAAATAAATGCAACCGGCAATCGAACAGATCGTATAGATATCAACGGTTTGGGCAGCCACATGTGACAAAGGCAAATAGGAGACCAACACCTCCGAGCCGGCGACAACACGTTCCAATGATTTGGTGATGGCACGAACATCAAAGGTGATATTATCATGGCTAAGCATGACACCCTTTGGCATACCCACAGTACCGGACTAGAAGCAAATGCAGAAGAAGAAATTGAAAATGAATTGAATCTTTGGCAAAGGTATAAATCACGATGGTAAGGAATACTTACGGTGTAGACCAAACAGCAGCATTGATTGATGGCAATATTTTCCAAACGTTTCTTGAGTGCATCATCCTGATCGGAAACATTCATGGCTTCAATTTCAGACCACTGCAAAGGTAAATGGAAAAACAAAATTCATGAAGTCCATTAGAAGTTCGAACAAAAAAAATCATATCCTCCTTTACTTACCCTATAATAACCATCCTCCTTCTTCATGAATGGAGCATAAGGTTCCTGGATTTGAATGGCTGCCTTCAAGTTGGGCAATTTATCTTTGATGGCATGGATTTTTTCCATTTGTTTGGCATCATCGACCACAACAATTTGGGCATGTGAATCCTGCAAGACATGCATACAGGCTTCGGGGGAGTTGGTGGTATAAATACCGGCAATGACACCGCCAGCATGAATGGCACCCATGGCCGAGTAGAACCATTCAGCACAGTTGAAGGCCAACACACCGACAGCATTATGGGGTTCCAAGCCCAATTTCATGAAAGCCTTGGCCACTTGGTGGACTTTTTGTTCATATTGTCTAACAGGGGAGAGAGGAAAAAATTAATAATCAAAATTTCAATATTTGTGTATTCGAAAAAAATATTTACCTATAGGTCACTGTGGTATATTCCCTTTTGGCATTTTTGGTCCTCAAAGCAGGGTGATCGGGATAATTGTTGACGGTACGTTTCAAAATGCCGGGAATGGAAATGGGCTCTTCAGCGCCCAAGCCATCCTTGGCAATGCGTATCTTAACAGCCTGGGTGACATCGGTGGTCTTGTAGACATCACTGGGAATGAGGCGATTGGGACCGGGACGATTGTAGAGAGCATCGACTGTCATTTTGATTGTGTGTGTTAGTAATTTTTGTGGGGGAGGTTAAAATGGGAGCTGTAAAGAAAAATATAAAAAAATTAATTTCAGATAATTTTCATAAAAAAATTTTGAAAATTCTTAAAAAAATATTCAAAACACCAAGCCTATTGTAAGGCTTTTAATTTTTTTTTTTTAAATCCACACCTATTGTAAGGCTTTTAAATTTTATTTAAATTCGCGCCTATTGTAAAGTAGGGATAAGTAAATCGATTTCGACTAATCGACTTTTTGTATTGAAAAGTCTAAAAGTCGAAATCGACGAAAAATCGACTTTTGCGCTCGACTACATATCCCTATTGTAAAGCTTTTAATTTTTTGTTTAACATTTATCGACGATAAGTCCAGAAGGATATTTGTCTAGTTTATGCGATCGAAATCGGAAGTATTTAAGATGTTCAAAGCCCAAGTTGAGAAGCAGACAGGCTGGAAGATATAATCACTTCGTTCGGAGAATGGAAACGAATATATTAATTCGAGTTTTGATTTATATCTTGAAAAGGAAGGCATCACACGACAGTTGACGGTTCCTAATACATCACAACAAAACGGGGTAGTCGAGAGGCCCAACCGTACCCTTGTGGAAATGGTGTATGCAAATGTGAAACCAGATTTATATTAGAAATAGGTGTCCTACAAAGCAGCTGGAAAACAAAATGCCGTATGAAGAATGGTGTGGTAGAAAGCCTGGCGTTCAACATTTCAGAATATTTGGAGCATGTGCTGTGGCCTTAGATATCGACTGGGAAGAAATCCAAATTCGATGCTAAAGGTAGGTGATGTATAATAGTTGGATATTCATCGACAGCTAAGGCGTACCGGCTGTATGATGCGGATAAAAATAAAGTCATAAAGTCGTTTTGGTAAATGCCGTGAGTGATCTGATGAAGAAGGATCTTCCACGAGTGATAAACTTTTTGATTATATTCTGCAAGACAAAATTGATTCCGATGATAATGAAAGAGTCGCAGACAATAATTTACATCGAATGGAAGTGTATTCCGAGAATGATACGAGTGACTTCGAAAGGTTCGAAACAGCTGAAAATGAATATGAATCCAGAGATGAGGAAATTGGTGCTGCACAGGATATGCCGAAGAAGTTTGGTGCAGGTAGGCCTAAAATTATTCGCACGGGAAAGCCTGGTCGTCCACAAAAGCAACTTGATGAGGTTCTATGTCATGCTGTTGACGAAAATATTTAAAATACGGTGGAGGAAGCAATATCTGGTAATAATGGAGACTAATGGTTAGAGGCAATGGAAGATGAATACCGTGCTCTTTGCAAGAATAAGTCTTGGGCGCTGATGGATCTTCCATAAAGCTATTCCATGTATGTGAGTCTATGCCATAAAAAGGAATGTAAATGGTGAAATTGAGAGGTATAAGGCTCGCCTAGTAGCCAAAGGCTGTCTCCAACGATATGACACAAACATGTAGTAGGATCACAACAGGATGTTGTCGATGCAGTACCAGCTTGGGTGTTATCGCAGGAATCATCCACGCTATAATCTTATGGATAGAATTCCCCCACCCAGGCACGTAAGGAGAGACCTACATTATCTAGAGAGAGAGGTCCAACGGTACAAAAGAGAACCCCTAGATCAAGGGGCTTACAGAGCAGAAACTACCAGCATTCACAACGAAGCAGTGACCCAAGCAATGGACCAATACCATGTGAATGCAGTACTAGGAGTCCACCCACCACATATAGCAGCAGAAAAGCTACAGCTGCCTAGACAAACGAGAGTGGTTTTAGCCCAACTAAGATCAGGATGGTGCAGCCGCCTCAATTCGTACTGGGCCTGAATTGACAGCGTGGTACCAAACACATGCCCTGCATGTGGACTTGGACCTCACGATACGCTGCATCTCTTTAACTGCCCTGCTAAACCCACTCATCTGTCTCCGGAATCTCTTTGGGCGCAGCCCTTACAGACCTTCCTGAACCTGGAAACAGAGGAGTCAGAACCAGAGTAATTTAAATATAACAAACATGTAGACAGTTACTACAACAACAACCAACGATACGGAATTGATTTCAACTAGATATATTCACATGTCGCTCGCTACTCAATAATTCGAATTTTATTGGCACTGACTGTGAAGGAAGGAAGGAATGTTTTTACATCAAATCGATGTCAGAGCCTCATATTTGAACAGTGAACTCCATGATAAGGATAAGGTATATATGTAGCATCCACTGAATCTTGAGGAAAATAGTTCGCCGAACAAAGTTCTACGTCTCCATAGGGCTATTTATGGACTAAAACAAAGCGGACAGGAGTGTAACTCTAAACTAGATACCAAAGGTCTTGGTGTAAACCCCACTAAAACCCAATTTTCGTCTGCCATCACTTGGAGGAGTGACTTTAACCCTTTCTGAGGAAGCAAAATATCTTGGCACCATCCTAGACCGCAAACTATTGTGGTATAGGAATGTTGAGGAACGCTCTAAGAAGGGATTGCTGGCACTCTATTCATGAAAGAATTCCATAGGTAAGAGCTGGGGATTGAGACCCGAAATTATGCTGATCACCGGAGCATTAACCCTTTCAGTGTTTTTGTCGAATATATTCGACATTTAAAAATTCTACCTTTCTTTGCAATTTTTCCTTTATCCTATGTACCGCTTACATTGATGGTTTTGTTTTTGCTGAAAAACAGACGAAACTGTCCGAGGGTTAAAATGAAAATTGCTTTTTTTCTAAACTCTATGCCTTTATATGATTTTAGGTAAAAAATTTTAGATTTTTATTCCGACAAAATTTTTTTTTATACTGAAAGGGTTAAGAAGTACACCACAGGTAGCCTTGAACGCAATTTTGAATCCCCAACCTTTGGATATTCTGATTAAATTCAAGGCGGCCAGGTATGCCCTGAGACTCCGCGAAACCGATGCCTTGAAATCGCTGAACTATGGTCATGCCAGAATCCCAAACATAACGCCAGGTTATGACCTCTTTAGGGGGAATAGTCATATCAGTGACTATGTTCCCCCTCACAGGGACTTTAATGACATTAAAGTTGAATTTCCTAGTAGGGAATCCTGGACTAGTGTCTCCTTACCTCTGCAAGGTCTGTCAATCTTTACAGACGGGTCTAAAATGGAGGAAGGCACTGGCGCAGGGTTTACTGTAGGGAATTATGAATATACAACTCATACAAACTCAACAATAACTGTAGCGTTTTTCAAGCAGAGATTCTTGCAATCACGAAAGCGGCCGAGATAGTAAAAGCACTTAATGCCGACATTACGGGACCGGCGACTATATATGTCGATAGTCAGGCGGCCCTGAAAGCAGTGAAGTCGCATACTATTAACTCGAAAGCAGTTCATGATTGTAAGTCCGCTTTGAATAATTTACGACAGATAGTTGGTTTATGTTGGGTTCCGGGACATAGTGATATTGAAGGGAATGAGATACCCCACGAGCTTGCTCGAGAGGTCTCACAGTCGCCCAATCTTCTGGTTGAGAGATCTGTGAAACCTCTCATTGGCTATTTCATTGGCAGAATCCGTGCGTTCCATTTCGAGGTAGTTGGTAACAGATGGCTAAGGGAACCTGCTTGCAGAATCTCAAAATCTATCTGGCCTGAATTCTCTCGTAAAAGAACGTCTGCAACATTGCGTAAAATGAATTTTAAACCATGTGAAAACGAACCCTGTCTCTCTACAAAGGCATGAGGAGAAATATGCTAGTGTTGATCGCCGTTTACGTAGATGACATTATTATTGGGTGCAAAGACAAAATGGTTGTTTTGGAGATGAAAAATAATTTGGCAAGTGAGTTCGATGTCAGCGATAAGGGGCAGTTAGGCCACTTCCTGGGTATGGAGATTGAAAGAAAAGTTGGGACGGTTGTGATCAAACTGGGGCAAAGTCAATACATTCGTGATTTATTACAACAATATGGAATGAAAGATTGTAAAACACATCAAGTCCCATTGGAACCCGGTTATAAGGTAAATTGTAATGATGATGACGAACATGAAGATCAAACCGAGTACCAATCTCTCGTTGGAGCCCTGATATATTTAGCAACGTCTACAAGACCTGACATCTTGCATTCAGTGTCGAAACTGGCTCAGAAAAATGCTGACCCTCGAAAAGCAGATATGGTTAATCAGAAACATATTCTAAGATATTTGGCTGGAACTATTAACAAGAAACTGACATATCAACCTAATGGAAGTAACCTGAAAGGTTACGTAGATGCGGACTGGGGTGGTAACCCAGTAGACCGGAACTTATATACCGGATTTATATTTTTCGCTTCAGTCGCTCTTAGTAGCACGGAAGCAGAATATCTAGCGTCTTTTAAAGGAAATAGGTGTATGGAATTGTGAATTGACAACCAAGGACCATTAAAGTTGACGGAAAACCCTGTTTATCACAAGCGGTCAAAACATATAGACATAAGGTTTCACAACATCCGTGACTTCGTCCAGAATAATGCGATAAATCTAAAATATTGTCATTCAAAAAATATGGTTGCCGATGTATTGACTAAGAATATGTAAGGAAGACTCTCAAAAATATTTTTAAAAATCCACATCTATTGTATGACCCCCTAAAAATATTTTTAAGTCTCCACCCTAATGTATTTGCACTTCCGTTTATTGAACCTTTTTGTTTGCCATTTTAAGTCGTAATTTCTTTCAAAACACCTGTCCAAAAAATTCCACTCCCAAAAATTACATACAAAAGAACAGTTCCAAATAGACATTCTTGGAATTTCCTTAGGGAAGTCTAACAATGGGTGACCAAAACAAGCAAAAAACTTGGCTTAAAAAATTAAGAAAATTTTACTTTGGAAAAAAATTTGGAATTTTTCAAAATATTTATTTGGCCACCCAACAATTTTTTCTTTATTATTTGAACTTCCCTATTTACTTAATTCCAGTTTACGTTTACGGTATATTTACCTCCCCTCCTACATCCTCTATATGTATTGTATATCAGGCCTA